GCTTGTCAGGCCATGCTGTGGCGGTGTCCCACATAAAGTAGAGGAAGATGGGCATGGATGTTAGCCCACCGCCAGACTTCCTCACCAAAAAGAGGAGGATTGGCATGGATACGGCTCAGGGCTGATCTTCCTCACAAAAAAATAAATAAATAAAAATGTAAATTATATGAGATTTGCATGGTGCTTCTATCAGATAGTGCTGATTTCAACGTTTTACCCTTTTATTACACAAGCAGTACTTTCCATTGTTGATGGATAAATAAAGCCAACCATTGTTTACATTTGGTTGAACATGTTTATGTGTTAATAAATAACGCTCCATTATTTTAGATTAAGTCCTAATTTCCCAATTTTCCCACTGAATTTTACATTCAGTGGGCCCCTGAAGAATGTTAGGCTGCTTCAGTTTTGTTTGAACTCTGTAACAAATATACTTCCAGCTCAGCCTGAGCAAGTTCTTATTTCAGGAGGATACATCCTTATAAGTGAGTTAAATTACTTTTCTTTCTTTTTTTTTTTTTTGTGAGGAAGATCAGCCCTGAGCTAACATCGGTGCTAATCCTCCTCTTTTTGCTGAGGAAGATCGGCTCTGAGCTAACATCTATCGCCAATCCTCCTCCTTTTTTTCCCCCAAAGCCCCAGTAGATAGTTGTTATGTCATCGTTGCACATCCTTCTAGTTGCTGGATGTGGGACGCGGCCTCAGCATGGCCGGAGAAGGGTGCGTCGGTGTGCGCCCGGATCCGAACCCGGGCCGCCACTAGCGGAGCGTGCACACTTAACTGCTAAGCCACCGGGCCGGCCCAATTACTTTCATTTCTTATTGTTAACTTGTTCTCCAGAAGGTTTTACAAGTTACAGAACCACCAACATGGGACGATGGTCTTCAACACCAGGCGTTATATTTTATTTAGTTGAATCAAAAACAACAAAACACAGCAACCACCACCCTCACAAACTCATAATTTGCGTTTCTTTAATTACTAATGAGGGTGAGCATTTAAAAACTATATATTATTGGGCTGATCTTCCTCACAAAAATAAACAAATAAAAAATAAAAAAAATATATTATTGACATCCGTATTCTTTCTCTTGTAAATTGCTTGTTGAAGACTTTTGCCCATTTTACTAGGGGTGGAGCGGGCTTCACTTTTTCCAAGGGATTTGTAGGACTTTTTAAAATATTAAAGCTATTAAAATTTTTTGACCATCCTATTTTGCAAATATTTCTGCAAATTTTATCATACACTCATTTTCATTGTGGTGATTTTGTTGTTTTCTTTTCCATAGAGTGCTTATTAATTTTTACATGGTCAAACCTGTTTCATGGTTTCTGGCTTTAATACCATGAAGCAAAGACCTTCCCCACTCCCAAGTTTATGACAATATTCACTTCTTCTAAAACTATCAGGTAATGTAATAACTAAAAACTACTCATAGAGGAAAATACTAGAAAGAAACACACCAAAGTAAAGATGTCTGTGGCTTATAAAATTGTGGGTCATTTAAAATAGATTAAAAAATTAAAATATAACAACAAAGTAATGTTAGTTACTGATTCCTTATAGAATTGTTATAAAATACAAGTAAAGCATCAAATGCTACCTTCAGCAGATACTAGATTCTTTATATACAGACACCACCCACCCACGGGTCTATTTCCAGACTTCTTTATCTGCTATGCCTAAACCAGACCTACACTGTCCGTCTGTAAAATATGTTTTGAGTATCTAGTAGGGTAATAATGTCCCTCCTTTAACTTTTTTCTAAAATTTTTTTGGCTTTTCTAATGTAGTTCCAGATGGACTTGAGAAACATTTTATTAAGTTGCAAAAGAAATCCTGATGGGATTATACCGGGATTGAAAGGAAACAATAAATTAATGTGGGAAGAACCGCTTTTATCACAACATCAATTCCTCATATCCATTTATTCAAGTCTTTTAGACATTCTCCATTAAATTCTGTGGGTTTTCTTACGACAAGTCTTACACGTTTCTTGTCATGTTATTCTGGTTATTTTATGGTCTCTTGGTGTCGTGAATGGGTTTTGCATCCTCCCCCTTTTCACAGCTATATCTTCTGACTGGTTATAGCTGGTATATGGGGAAGCTACTATTTTTTTATTTATATATATTTAACGGTCACTCTACTAAACTTGCACTTTCTTACACACTCTAATCAACTCTATGATTGACTCTTTTGGGCTTTGCAAGTAGACAAGCCCACCATCTGCAACTAATAATAATTCTGCCTCCTCCATTCCTCATTCTTATCTTGTTATATTTGCTACAATTGCCAATATAATGTTGAATACTACTACTGATATGGAACATCTCTGTTCCTGGCATTTACAGTGACATTCTAAGCCTCAGTCATCCAAGACAGTAGCCACTAGCCACATAGGGCTGTTGAGCAGTTGAAATGTGGCTAGTGCAACTAAGGGACTAGTTATTTTATATTTTATTTTAATTATTTTAAATTAAAAAAATTGATACTTGATTCAATTATTGGAAACCTTAAGTATGTTTAAAACAACTTGAGTATGTGAATCTACTTTTTCAACTATCAATTTCATGAAATCCAAATTCTAAATTTATGAATTTAGCATCCAAATTGAGATGTGGTATAGGTGTAAAACACACACTGGATTTTGAAGACTTTGTATGAAAAAATAATGTAAAATATCTCATTAATATTTTTACGATTATGTGGCGAAATGACAATACTTTGGATATACTTGTTTAAATAAAACATGAAAATTAATTTCACCTGTTGTTAGTTTTTAAAATGTGGCTACTAGAAAACTTAAAGTTACATACGTGGCTAGCATTATATTCCTATTGACAGCGCTGTTCTAGGGTATTTCCATTAATCATGATGCACACCATTGGATTCGTACAGATATTCTCAATCATCTTAGAGAATTTATAGTTCCTACAGTTTATGGGAAGATGATGCCAATCACTTAGCTAGGCCAAATTGTAGGAAAACACACTATGGCTTGGATAATTTACCCTTTAACTGCTAGAAAATATAGAAGAGGATGTCCACTCTATTAAACACTGACTTGTAATCAAGAGAGCTGTGGAATAACATTTCTTTCCCAGGGTAGGATGTGCCAGCTATCAAGACTGTGTGCTAAGGAACCCATTCCAGGAAACGATATCCTAGATCCCACTCATGGACCTCAGGTGGACATGCCCTCCCTGGACTATGGGTCATGGAGGAAGTATGAGAAACAGAACTAACCTTCATTGAGCTTTTACTCTGCACCAAGCTAGATGCTTAATTTTGATTAATTTTTCTTTCTTTCTTTTTTTTCCCAAATAACACACTGTCCTAGGCATTTGAAAGACTTTAGCTCATGTATTCTTCCCAACAATCCCATGGAGTTAGTATCATCAGCCCCATCTGCAGATAAGAAACTGAGGCTTAGAGTCAAATGACTGCCCCAGGCTACAGTTGCTAAGGACAGTGCTGAGAGAAGAGTCCAGTCTGCCTGATTCTGAACCCTGGACTTTCCCCACTCCACCGTAAGGCATATCAGGGAAGGGTCAGAAGCATTGTTGGGGCCCAGGCCTCTGAGATCTGATGAAGGTTGTGGATGCATGAACACCCTTAGGATGCAGTTTTGCATAGAATTTCAGGTTAAAATCTCCCTCGTCTGGGCACCCCATTCCTCACCACTCCAGGGAACGTACAGAGAAGTCCTAGGAAATACAGACCACAGCCTCCCCTCCTCTAGGAAGTCCACCCTGTTGGGAACACGGCTCCTCGTGGGCTGGGACCGAGCCACTCTCTCCAGTCCACTCCTTCATCTTTGTCCGTGCATTCACCTCCCTCTTCACCCCAGGACTACATCTCAGGCCAGGGGAAGGAAGGCAATGGGAGCGGGGGGAGAAAGCCTCCCTCACCACCTGGGAATTAGAACAGCTCGGGAAACGAAGAGAAAGGAGTGAGCCACGACCTGGGAGTAACAGGAAGTGACAACTCTGGAGCCAAGACTGCGAGGAGGCAGCGACTCAAGGACATTCAGCAACTTCACTTGATTACAGGGCTTTTCCTGGAGATGTGTGTTTCCCGGGAGCTGCCAGCTCTCCAGCTCCCATCACAGAGGGAAGAGCCAGGAGAGGGGAAGGGGTGCCCGGTAGGGGCCCCACCGCCCCCTGCAGCGCAAGTCTCCCCAGCTGGGAGAGACCGGGCTGCTCCTCCCCCCTGCAGGGCCTCCGAAGGAAGCGGCTGGGCTTGAAATCAGATCTGCCTGGCCTTGTTTGGTTTCACTTTGCTTCTCCTAAGAGCAGAGTGCTCAGCTGAGGAGTGGGGAGTGAAAGGACACTCGGGGGTCTCCAGAGGGAGCCGGGTGGATCTAGACTCACTCCAGAGCTGGCAGATCTTGCCCTGCTGGAGCGTGCAGCGTGGGAGTGAAGAGCATGGACCCTGGAGCCTGACTCCCAGGTCATAAGCTGGCTCGGCCACACTGGGCAAGTTACTTGTGCCTCAGTTTCCTTATTAGCTTTCAAAGCGACTGATAACATTATGTACATCCTAGCATTATTGTGAGGATTAACTAAGCTAATATATGTAAAGCCCTTAGCACAAGCACGCATTAAGGGGTAAGCACCCTTACATATCTGCCGTGAAGATGATGCTGTGACATGTTCACTCTCTCAGCAGGTGCCCTGTGTCCATACCTTGAAAGGTAGGAGAATTCCAGCATCCCCAGTGACACTGGCCACTGTCACTCCCCTAAGTTCAAAGAACACACATTATTAACCCGGGACACACAGCTCCAGAGCTGCCTGAGGAGACCTAATCCAAAAGGCCCCAGGGCTGACCCCTTTCAAAGTCCTTGGGGTCCTTACGAAGAACAGTTGTGGGGGGAGTGGTGCTCCAAGCTTCCGAAACCCTGGTTCAGATCGCAGTCCCTACCAGTGGTGGGGTCAAGTGGCCAGAGACATAGTTTCTTTCCCCGCCTGACTTCCCTCCTCCCTTCTTTACCTCTGACCTTTACTGATGCAGAATGGAGGAGCCTGGCTTCTCTCGGGACAGGACTTAAGCTCTTTCTGATTTCAGTTGGAAACAGGCAGACGAGGTGGAGGAGGGAAAAGAGAAACTCCTCCCACTCTTTCTAGGATGAGGGTCCGATAACTTGGGACTCTGGGGGACCCTGGGTGCTACCAGCAACAAAGAATGCACAAAACCTCAACATGATCAACCCCCAATAAAACACAGCCTGGTCCTTGTACGGAACCAGATTCGCATTAGAGGTGTCCGTAAACTGTCTTGCCAGCCCTAAGGAGGTTCCTTTTGAGTTCTCTCAGCCTTGCTACTCCCACTTTTGGATTGAGCCTTAAACCCCATGGTGGGGGGTGGGGTGGGGCAGGCACTAGTCCCCTTTTGATGCTTCAGGGCCGAGGGTGACATTCTAAGGGATGGAGAAGGGCTGCACTGAGTGGGAACCTGAGGGTGGAGAGGAAGAGGGGCAGGGAACAGAAGCCGGAGCAGCAGAGCCTGGTGTCACCGTCACACTGGGGAGATCAGAAGCCAGGGCCTGCAGGTCAAGTTCAGTTACCAAAAGAACTGTGTGGACACAGGTCTGGGGAGAACTCAGAGACCCCCAGGGAGGCTGGAGGCTGCCGTGGCTGATGCCATGTGCCACCCTGATGGCCAGGACAGAAGATGGTGGCCCGAGTGGCCTTGGCACTGCTGCTTTTCGGATGCCCTCAGCCTCTGGGATGAAGGAACGAGGGGGAAGTGCCAGCAGTGCGGAGCGGTCTCTTCCAGGCTGGTAAGAAGTGTAAGCCCTCATTCATGGACATGCCCCAAACTGCCCTCGCCTGACCCCCAGGAGAGACCATCCCTCCGCAGGGGAGGCTGAGTGGAGACCACCAGGAAGCTCCATTCCTGGCAAAGGAGGGCTCTGGATGCCAGCGCTGCCACCCTGGCATGGAGCCCCGCGCTGCAAGCTGGCAGTGCCTGAGGGAGACTCTGATGGACATCACTGGAAGGAAGCCCAAAGTTCCACAAGATGCGTATTTCAAGCTGGAGCTTCAGGGACACGGTGAGGGGGAATGTGGGAAACTAATGGCTAAACTTCCTTCACCTCCTTCACACGCACGGCGAGAAAAGAAGGGCCGCGCCCAGCCACATACGAATCCCTCCCAGCACAACCATCCAGGTCCCTGTCCAGAGACGGCTGGCATGGGCCTATCCCCCCTGGAGCACCCCAGAAATACTGCTGGAGCTGGCCTCCAAGAACACTCCAGGGTTTGGTTCCTTTTCCCAACATTGAGGAAAGGCCTCTGGTACATAGGTCAGAAAACCTAAGCCCGGCTTCCAGGGCAAGATTGCTCAACCCCTGTGCCTCTGCCCTCAAGCCTTATCTCTGGCATCAACCCAGATCCTGTTCCTCCAAGGGACAGACTCCTCCCTCCCCCACAGAGAGACAAGCTCCTCTGAGCCCGTGAACCTCCAGCCAAAGGAGGCTGGAGTCACTGCCCAAAAGCAATCCCGGATGCTCTGACCTCTGAGCTCTCCCCTCCCAACTAATCCAAACTAGAGAAGGAGGGAGACAGACAGACAGAGGTGGGTCAACAGCACATCTTGCCTGCCACACACCTGGGCACAGCCTGTGCTGGCCACAGAAATCAGTGAACCACTCCAAAGGTGGAGAGGGTTGAAATCCCTGAACCACAGCCAAGCTGAGGCCCTTCTGGGAAAGCTCCTGACTTGAAAAGAAGGATCTAAGATCCCTCTCCCAGGCCAACACATGCCCATCGCCCACAGTCCCACTTTGTAGATAAGACTCTTATTTGCTTGGGGCTCCCTGGTTTCCAGTCCCGTGAGAGTTGGACTGCCAGGTTCTAAGAGGCAGCAGGACAGGAGTGGGTTGGGTGCATATATCAGATGGGGATGATCATCAGTGGGTGGGCGTGTGTAAGAGAGACATGAGGGGAAAAGAGAAGAGGGGCCAAGAAAGAGAAAAAGATGGAAACCTCAGAAAATGGAAGAAATGCTCAAAGTAGAGGCTGGAGCTGGGGAGTGCAACATGAGCAGTTGGTTCTCAATGAGCAGGGGCCCCAGGAACTCAGGGAGACATCAGAGGGGCCAAGACACCCCAAACTGCCACCTCCTGGGAGCGGGCTTACTTTATCACACCAGCCCCCTCCCAGTCCCTGCGAGGTTACCAGGATCCCTGGGAAGACCAGAAGAACCCACTTGGATACCTCCCAAGCTTCACTGAAGCCCTGTAGTGGGAAAGAGCAGCTGTCCTCAAGGAGTGGAGGGGCAAAGTCCAGGTTCAGAGGAGATAAAGCACACTAATCAGTCAGTCACATGGACAGCTCACCCGGGGCAGCTGATGAAAGCTGGAACCCACCTGGCACCCCCACTCACAGCAGGGTCCTAGCTACCCCACAGGGAGGAGCCTCGCCAGTCTCCAGTGGATGCCCCATTATTGCTCCCGGAGCCCTGGGGCCACCTAGAGGCCTGGCTGGACCCAGCCCTGGTCCAGCCAACTCCCCATTTCTGGGGAAAATCCACAGCTCAGCTCCCCCTTCCTTTGTGCCCTGTTCTTTGTTCTCTTAAAATTCAGTCCATCCTGCCGGTGGTCCCCTCCTCCACCCCAGCCTCAGAAAGGGGGCGGAGGCGTGAGGAGTATTAGAAATCCAGACTGTGCAGAGAAGTTGCATCGCAGGAGGCCCTCCTGTAACTGGGCCCCTCATTGTGTACGCTGGCTGGCTGGGGAAGGCTTTCTCTGGTCCAGATGGCTGCTGGGGTAAGGATGAGGGAGATTCTCCCTCCAACACCCCAATCGCTCTAGAGAGGAGCCGGGGGCTTCACAGCCCAGGGACCCTTTCCCCATTCAACTGCTCAGATACAGGGGCAAAGAATAGGCACCGTGGACGCAGCCGAGGGCCGTGGCAGCCGGTCAGATTGCAAGTGGTGACAACGAGGAAAGAAAAATCATCGTATTTCCCTTCCATTCTCCCAGAGAGAAAAGAAAACTTCCAAAGCCCAGGCTGCAGTACCTCGTCGGGAAACACAAGCAATCTGGTTTGAATTAGCAGGGAGCACCCCTCCCCCAGTCTCTCTTACACACACACACACACACACACACACACTCACTCACACTCTCTCTCTCCCGGCTCAGTCCTCTCCCAGGGAGCCCGCCCAGCCTCAGCCCTCCAGCCCCCGTTCCCGATTCCCGCCCAGCTCCCCCGGCCAGGGCACTCACCGGCGGCGGCCCAGCCCGCAGAGGAGCTCACAGGGCACGAACCAGGGGCAGGGGGCAGTTTTGTACCCCCGGCTGGGGGCGCTCCAGGGAGAGGGCGGAGCTAGAGACGGCCCATCGCAGCTCTGCCGCCCCAAGCGGGTGATTAAATCATTAACCAACCGCTCCCGGCCCGCGGCCACGCCAGCAGCGCTTTGGCCCGGGCGCACCCCGCGCGCGGGTCCCGCCCGCGTGTTGCTCCCTCCTAGGCTCCAGAGGGGCCGCCAGCTCCGCCGGGCCCCACCCCGCAAAGAGGCGCCTCGGCCTCCAGGTCTTCCGAGGAGGCGGGCGGGGCGGGAGCCTGGCGGGGAGGGAAGGGTTCGCGAGGGAGGGGAGGACGGAGAGAGTATTTGTTTCCTCGGCCATTCCCTTCCAGGCGGCTCCTTCCCTCTTTTCTCCCCGGCCCGGTGACGTTGGGTGGTGTGTGCTGCAGTGTGTGTACCAGAGAGCGTGTGTACACGCCTCTACCACTACAAGCGAATAATTCGGTTATTCATGGAGAACTCTGGGCGCACACACGCCCCTCTTGGGGAGACCGCGGGCTGCGCGCCGCCGATTGTTGTGCTCCTGCCCACACCGGCACACACCCCATTCCTGGGCAAGGGGGTGGACCTTTAACACCCCCGGCTCCCCGCCCCCGTCCCACCCCACCCCACCCCCATCCCCACCCCACCCCCACCCCCAGTAGCGCCCTGGGCCGAACCAGCGAATCCCAGTCTGGGAAGAGGAAATCGAGTCGGAGAGAGGCTTCGCCCGGCTGCCACCCTTTCCTCCCCAAACCCGCTCCGCTCGGACACAGGGTGCGTGGCTCGGGTCCCGGGCTCCCGAGCCGTCCCGCACGCGCCGCGGTGAGAAGCGACCGGCGCCGAGGAGTGGGGGTCTCTGTGCCCTTCTCCCCGCCCCACGGTCCCCTATCGCGGCGTTTTCAATCCTCCCCACCCCATAGGGGGGCTCGAGCCCCCCAAGCCGAGCGCACTCAGGCCTCGCAGGGCGCAGGTGGCTGTTACGGCCAGAAGCGGGTGCCCGTCGCCTACCTCGGTCCGCAGAGACCCGAGCGCCCGGCCGGCGCGGCTGCGCTCTCCGCTCCGTGGGCTCCGCGCGGCGCCGGGGCTGGCGGCCCATGTCAGCGCCCGCGTTTGTTTCCCTCTCGCTCTCGGGCTTTCAGGGCTGGGAGCCGCTCGGACACTCCCCTTCCAGGCTCCTCCCGCGCCCTGCCTCCCGCACCCCTCCGCGCTGATGTCACGGCGCCGCCGCAGCCAATGGCTGTCGGGAACCTCAGCCCGGCCGCTCGGCCTCCTAGGTTCAAATCCGAAAGCCTGAGACTTTCGGAGCTTCAGGTGGGGCGGCCTGGGCCCGGAGGTCGGCCAGGACCCGAGCTGATGGGGCCCCGACCCCCCACCCCGGGCCCTCGGGATCAGGGCGCGACTCCCCCGGGGGCCCAGCGCGAGGCCCTCCTAAGGCTCTTCCCCGTTCGGAGCAGTGACTGGAAACCGACAACCGCGCCCCGGCGGTGCTCCCGCTCCCTCCCTCCCGGACCCAGGACCGACGGGAGAAGGGAGCCCGAGGGTCGGCGCCGCCCGGGTCGTGGATTCCATCCCAGGCTCTTACTGGAAACGAGCGGGGCGGGGAGGAGCCAGCCCGAGGCCAGGCCCAGAGTGGGTGTAAGAAGGGTGACCTGTCTTTGACCAGCCCACTTTCCCAAGTCTGCCTTTGCCTCCTGAGTATCCGCTGAGGCAAGTTCTGCTCCAGGTGAACCTCAAGCGGGATGAGCTCCTGAGTACCAGGCCTGAATGCTATGAGAAGCAGGCCTGGGGCTCGGGTCTTGAAGAGGAATCGCTTCCATTTGTAAATGATCGTTACTAATCAATGCCAGCGGTGAAACGTTCAACAGGAAAGTGGACACAGCACCACGTGAAGGTTCTCATGCTATCAGCCGCTCCCTCCCCTGGGTTTTAAAGGAAGGGGCTGGAGATGGCCGAGGCTCCAGA